TCAAAATGCCAGAAACAAACATTTCAAAATGTTTTTGGGGGGAATGGGGAGAAATAACTACTAGTTATTATCTCCTTTGCACTTTTCTGTATTTTTCAAGTTTCTTAGAAGAAGCATGAATTCATGTTCTAATAAAACTATTAACCATTTCCCCCAAAATTTCAGTAGTCTGAAACCTAGATCACTGTTCCCCATAAAAAGACAAACTCCAACTAGATCATGAGCCAGTTAAATGAGATGCCACGGCTCAAAGGCAGGGGGAGGATGTGTCCCATATGCCAATTCCCGGTATAAAGGAGGAGGTTTATACCTGGAATGAAGCTCAAAATCAAACCAAAGTGCTCTGAAAGGAATCTTAGATTGCTCCAAAGAGCTGTTGCAAATCTCGGAAACCCATGTCAATGAATGGGATGAATGGGTAGCAGTCCTCTGGGAGGCAGACTGACCCATCTGGGGAGCTGTGTGCTGATGTTCATGTGACTTTCTCTAGGGCAACCACCGAAAGCTTGGAGGAGGGCCAGTGAGAGCCATCAATACAGCCAGCGGGTGGGGAGCTGTGTTATGTGACCAAAGGGTGAGAGAGCTGGAGATGTTTAGTCTGGTGACAAAAACACTAAGGAGAGACATGAGTGCCGCCTTCAGATACTTGGCGGGCTGTCAGAGTGAAGAGGGGCACATGTGCTCCTCATGGTCCCAGACTCAGAGCTGGCACTAAACACCAATGTTCACAGATAACTTATCTTCTGCCATATAACTCCACAACAGAAGAAGTCAGAATCAAAGTGTTGTCAAAAAAAACGGGGTGGCTAATGTGGGACCTCCTAGGTCCCCATAACTTGTCTTTGGAATGATGTGCCAATTGTTGCCATAGAAAGGATGGGGATAGAGGGTGGAGATGGAGGGCACTGAGAACGTGAGGGAACAGTGTTGTAAGTGTTTGGGGCTTGTAGTAGTGTGGTGTGGCCAACTTTCAGGAAGCACACCAGGCTAGGCTCCCTGCAACTATGTAACCCATTGCTCACAGCTCCTCTGTATTGCTACCCTGTTTCCCAGATGTGGAAGTGCAGACCTGGAAACCAACGGTCTTGTCCTCTCCAAGAGCTGATAAATGAACAGATACTGCAGCAATGCTAGTAATTGTATTGGTCACGAGCATAAGAGTCCCTGGAGTAGCAAACACTCTTTGGAGGCCTCCTCTGCATCAAACAGCACAAAATGCGGTGCCTGGGTAACCATTTCATAGTTACCCAGGGTCTTGCTAGTACACACTACACACTGCAGAGGTATATATCTTATCCCCATTTTTGACATGTGGAAACAGGGAGCCAGAGACACCAAATGGTTTCCTCCAAGCTACCTGGCTAATAAATGGTCGAGCCAGGGAGCAGATTCTGACTGAGGGCTTTGTGGTATGAGCTCCTAGCTGAGATTCTCCAGAATACTTTGCTCTCAGCTGTTGCACGTTTCACAACTAGAAGGTGTGAAAGGGAAAGACACGAAGAAGTAATCTCTGATGGCAGAAAAATGGTGGTGGAGGTGAAGAGATGGCGCCTGTGGGCTCCCCCAAATGGCCAATTTCCACCTTCAGGACAGACCCTGTTTCTATGGAGACATGGAAAAAAAGTGCTCAGGGGAAAGGAGCCCAGTTCCTTTGCCCCTTTAGCACTCAATTCAAGGGAGAAAGAATGCACTGGATCGTTGTTTTAATGGCTTAGAGGAATCTTTCTTGCTGTTCCCTATCTGTACAGTGCTGGGTTGATGGGTGCTTCAGCCAGGGCTGGAGAGAGGGCACAGTGGGTATGGCGCTTGGCTTGTACATGGCTGACTAGGGTTTGATCAGCAGCATTCTGTATCCCTGAGTCTATCCAGGAGTGATCTGTGAGCACAGAGCAGGAGTAAGCCTTGCACACTTCTGGGTATAGCCTATCTCCACCCCCCATCCAAATCACTCAACCACACACCATTTCTTCTATGCTTCTTCTATACGGTGGAAATGTGGAAACACCTACATTGCCATTTTCCAAAGGGTTTCAAGACTCATGACATCAACAATTCCTACCATAAAGTTTTTACCTTTTTTGGGGTGAATAAAACCCTTCGTTGAGAGGAAATACTGAAAATTATAGTTTCAATATCCTCACTTTTGTCAGCTCGCTCTGAATCCCAGTCTCTCTTTAGACCACCCCATATCACTCTCTTATGATAGTTCATCGTTCACATAATTTCCAATCCAAAAGATATTACAGAAAAAGGCAGTATTAAAAAAACTTACCATTGGGAATGGGTACTGAAAAAAAAAGAAAGAAAGAAAAGAAAATTATAGAACTATCCCCAACAGAAAAACAATGGTGGTTTAATCACAGGAGTCTTCAGCAATATAGAAGAAAGAAAAAGAGAGCAAAGTTAGCCAAAGAAGGAAGGTAAGCAAAATGATACACAGACTCAAGGTGCCCAAGGAAACGTGATTTTCATTGTAGGTCTCAACATAAGCTCAAAGGCGATTTCCCTATGAGCGTGTTGATGCCCACACTGACTTCCCGCTCAAGAGAAGCTTTTAAATCCATTTGCAGCCCCCCTGGGAGTTGTGAGGAGGAAGGTGTTGCAGCTAAAGGAGATTATGGCAAGCCTGAAAGTCAGAGACACAAGACACTGCTCACCCAACTCCTGGCAGTGTCATCTGGGGCTTTCCTGCCCAGCATGCCTCTGGGGAGAACTCAAGAGTGGGCCCCCTCCCGCCACCCCAGGACTCTGGGAGGTCAGCCTGTTCTTTCTTGGATGTTTCACTATCAAGGAGGTGGATGCCCAAAGGAAATCAATGCCAGGAGCTTCTCCTCTGGTCTAAACCTAAGGCACCCTCTCTCACGCTTTCTCAGCACATTTCCAGGTAGACTCACACCCCACTGCTGGGTGACCCAGAGGGTCCGTGGAAGCTGACAATGGAGAGCAAGGAGGGTGTAAAACCAAATGACGGGAAGGCGATGGGGGTTTTGGATCCAGGTCTCTGTGAATGCTCTTTCTCATAGTCCCAGCCTCTTCTTTTCTGTCCATTCTCGACTTCCAACACCCTGTAGGGTCCTCACCTCTCCTGGGTCTTCCCTATAGCATCCCCACTCCATGTCCTTCTTGAACCCAAGATTACTCTCATCATCTCTACCATTAAACCCAGAACTTAGTGGGAGGCTGGTCTCCTCGATGGTTCTATGATTCTATGATCTAAACCAACATTCTTGCATCTTCCTACACCCACACACTGACGCCTGTCTACCAACTGTAAACTATAACCAAGGTGGTAGAACGGTTTTCAATCTTCTACACCTGTGGACTGGCATGGGTCTGTGGCCCAACCACTGAAGAATACTAGTCTTTCCTCCCACTTAAGAGTCCCTCTCTAGATCTGGTCCTCAGGCAACTATGGTACAGTCTTGCTGATAAAACTTTGAGAGTCCAAAGGGCTGCAACACAGGTATTATATGTGGGAACTTTAGACTAGATCCCCGGCACTGCCAATGCAGTGCCAGGAGCAACTCACAAGTACCACACTCAGAATAGCTCCACCAGGTTGGCCTCAAAACCCAAAAGAAAAGAAAAGAGTTCTTATTGGTAAATTTTGCTCTTAGGAATGAATTTCTGGTCAGGGCTTTGCAGAAGACCTCATATTTATACCACACCCTCCACCAGTAAGTCAAATACCCAACATGTCATCTTGCCTGAAAATGATGTCACTCCTGGGTGGGGGAAAGGAGTGTCTGCATTATATGTTTATTTTTGTGGGGGGACAAAGGGGAAGGAAAACCTGGGAATTGGGCACCAGTTCCTTTGCCCTTTCCTCCAAAGACCACAGACATTTTGTTCAACCCATGAGAATATTTGACACAGAAAGAGGAACCTTGAGCCTAGCCCAACCTCTATTTTCAATAAACATGAAGGAGTTGTGATCTCTATGCAGGGACACAATCATTCTTTGAGGAAAAGGGTGTGTGGGTGCCATTGGATGGGGGGTTGGTGCTTCTGATTGGCTGATGATAGCTAGGGCTCAGTAAAGTCCCAAGGTGAGATTTTCAGGCTTGAGGGTTGCTTTTACCCTTTAACCAGAAGCTGGGTGTGGGTATTGCAGGGGTGGGACCACTCTAGCATTCATACAAATCTTGTTAGCTTCTTCGTTTACCTGCCCGGCATGCCTACCTGGGCCTCGTTGCCATGTTCCCACCCCCACTCCCACCCCCCAAGTTTATTTATTGTGGCCATTTTACCAGCTATTGGCTCAACACACTCCACTCAAATATTCATCATTTAGCTCTCTGGGTAAATCGTATTTAATCAGCACAGGAGAGAAAATAGCATAATTATAGATGCCGGATGCCATTACACTCAGGAGAAATTAAACCCTGTCTCAGGCCGACCAGCGGTCGCCGTGACGGCATCACCGCTGGGGTTACGGAGAGGTGAGTGGCCACTCGAGGCCAGTGCTACCTTGTCAGGAGCCTGATCTAGCCATGTTGCAAAGAGACACAGCCGTGGGCACCCACGTTCTCGGTAGCAAAAAAAAAATGCCTCAAATGGCGACCAGTAAATGAATCATGTCGTTGCTCGGAGGGTGGTCAGGGAGTAGGTGATAAAGTCTGGTTCTCACAGAGGGATGGCCCAAGAGACAGACCCAGAGAATTCCAGCCCTCTGGGCAGGCAGAGAAAGAATTCCCCAAGCCAGCCTCCTCCAAGCCCCTGTCTACCCATCACACAGAAAGGGCACAGGAATAAGGGGCACCTTCAGGACACATGACACCTGGCATGAATTCCTCCCCTTTCTGGAAGCATCAGGGGCGGGACCCAACCCAAGGGCCTCTCTGCTGGGTCCTTCCCGTCAGAAGATTTGATTTTTGTATGAGCCCAAATTCCCTGTTGTTATTGCCAAGAAAGGGTTTGGTTTTAGGGAAATGGGTGAAGGGAAAAGTTGTTGGTATTTTTTTTTTTTTAAGCAAAGCCCGGCAATAATCAGGTCCTACCTGCCTCTGGTCTCCTGACACGGACTTCTGGAAAAGGCTAGAAGCTTGGGGTCGCTTCCATCCAGCCATTCCGGCCCGGCCCTTCCACTCACATCTCCAAGGGCCACCTGCGTTTGTCCAAGGGACAGAAAAAGAGACTTTCAATCTCACAACAAAGCTTTCTCTCCCCTGGACCTAACCCCACGCCAGCCACCCTTCCCACTGTGAAGCTCTATTTGTAAAAATTCAAAACTGTCCAAAGATGCAATTAGACTTTACTTATTACTATTGGGTGATTGGTTTCGGCTTCATTCCCACCCCCGCCCCTGCCTCTCCTATCTTTTTTTTTTTTCCTTTTGGCTAATAATGCTTCTGAGGTTTGGATAAGTAACTAAGAGGAAGGAGCGCTCCTTCCAGTCCATCCTGCTGCCGACAATTAAGAAACCTCAAAGTAATTTTTGAAAATGTCAGCGTCTCATTTAGCAAAAGGATAAATAATAAATGAAGCATAATCACTGTCCTGCGCTGGTGGTAGAGCTTCGCCGTGTCATTAGTAAACTAACGGTATAATATCTTTGTGTCACAGTTTAATTATATCTTGTAATTAGTTTCAGCAATGGATTGCACGGAGTCAGGACCCCTGAGCTAAACAAAAGGTAATAGAACTTTCAGCGCCCCTGCATAAATCAATTATGAAAGTGTCCCGCGTTATTGGAAGCTTGTTTGCTGTAATTTTATGCACGAAGCTGAACCTGTTCTTCTGGCTGGAGGAGGGCGGGTTCCAGGGTCCTTCCCTTCCCACCCGCCCCTCACCCCCACCCCAAGCCTGCCAGCAGCCAGGCCTGCAGGGCATTGGTCAGTCTACTCTGCAGTAAATACCAGGGAAGGGGCACCAGAGGGGGAGGGGAGGAGGCTTCGGGAGTAGCTGAACAGGTAATAGATGCGCCAAGAGCCAGCGAGCAGGAGTATGTGTGTGGGGTGTGTGTGTGCGGGGGGGGGGGGGGGGGGGGACGACGGAGGCGGGGGCGGGGGAGGGAGGTTAAAACGGGCAAAAGATGCGAGGTCCTGGAAGAATGATTCTCTCTGCTTCCCTGAACATAGATGAGGAGGTGAGGAACTTCAAAGGCCACGCGACGCTGATGAATCTGGGCAGGCGGACACGACACATGTCCCTGTCTCATTTGTCCTTTCAGCATCCCTGCTCTTCCCCAAGCGGCCAGAATTGGAACCAGCAGAGAGGCTCCTGGACCACGGGGAACAGGGACGAAGCAGCCCTGGCCTTAATTGGCTCTAATTCAGGTTCCGACCAAGCTCAGAAAGTGGCCAGGGTTTAGCTGCAGTCCCCAGGCCAGGCGGGCCGGTCCTGGAGTCCCTGCTGGGGGCAGCAAAGACGTAACTCAAGGGTCCATGTGTGTGCTTCCGTGGGGTGTTGGTGAAGTGCAAATGCCACCCTGTGATCAGCCCTTTTTTGATCCTACTGTCAGTCCTGGCGGAGAGTGGGGGTGGGGCCCCCATTCCGGTGCTCATCAAGTCATCTCTGAAAGTAAGCCTCGTGCCATGCTGCCCTTTCTGTTTATACAACAATTTACAGGTTTAAATGGGGGGGGGAGCTTACCCCTCCCTCGCCTTGGAAAAGCAGCCTGAATCTTCCTATTGTGAGCACTTCAGCAAATTTAACAAAAGAAAGAGCCCAGGCGAGGGAGGTGGTGGGGGGGGGGGTGGGGGGTGGGGGGGTGGGGAGGATAAAAAGGTCCAGTTCTCAGACTGGTGTGCTGCAATCTGGCTGGTTGCTATGGTGACGTGATGGCTTGTTCACATGGCAACATACCTTAGGTCCACTATTAAAATGATGAGAGTGAACTCGGTTGCATTAAGGAGAGCGCGCTGTATGCTAAAGCGAGTCTTTATCTCCGCAGAGAGCTGGCCAGAGACTAGCAACCGGTACAAATGAGGGAGGAAAGGAGGAGGAGGGAAAGGTTGGAGGTCTGGGAGGGGGCGAAGCACAGGGAAACAATAACTAGGAAAACAAAGCACCTCGGCTCTGTGTCTAAGTCGAGGGCCTACGATTCCTCGACGGGAGAAGTGAGTTTTGTTGGAGGTGGACCGGGGCACCACCTAAATCGGCCACGAGGCTAATGACCCCTTATGAAGACATACCCAGTCCAGGTGAAGCCGGGCTTCCAGCAAACCTCGGCGACCCCTCAAACTAAATCCAGGTGCACAACCCGGCGACAGCCACTTAAGTAGAACACTCTCCAAACGACCATGGGGGCAGATCACGCAGCACCGGAGTGAGGATGGGACAACAGCCACCAGTCCAACCTGACCATGGCAGAGTGGGCGGGAGTCTCCCTTTGAGAACACGGGTTTCCTGTCCTCCTTCACAGTGGGGACATTTTCTCCCAGCTGATGTTGAGTGGGTGGTTTTTGTTCTGCAGATAAATTCAGACCACTTTTCCTGCCCGGTGAGCTGGATTTTTCTTGGCTGTTTAGCTGGGTTGTACATGTGAGATGGCTAGGAATGACGAGGTGCTCTGATCCCCCCCAAGGTGGGGGGGGGGGGCTCTGGGGGAACTGGAAAACCATGTGGGGATGTCTTGACTCCTAAAAGACTCGCTCTGCTCACCCATTCTACCCCCCTTCCCCCTGCCCCCCGCTGACCTCTCTCTCTCTAGCTGGCTGTGCTTTATTTGAAAATCTCATTACCATTAAGTGCAGCAAAGGCCTCTCAAGCCACAAATATCTCCCGCTTTGGAGCAGGGCAGAAGAGGAGCTTTGTGTAGCTGTATCTTCCTTCTTTTTATTTGCAGGACTGAGGATCGAACCCAGGCTTCCAAGCATGCAAGGCATGCATGGCTCAACACAGAGCCACATCCCTGGCCCTGGACCATTTTTCTTTTCCTTTCCTTTCCTTTTTTTTTTTTTTTATCACACCTGGCAATGCTCGGGTATTACTCCTGGCTCTGCACTCAGGAATTATTCTTGGTGATGCTCAGGGAACCATATGGAATGCCGGGGATAGAACCTGGGTTGGTGACATTGCAAGGCAAATGCTCTACCCACTGTACTGTTGCTCTGGCCCACTGGGTGTTTCTTTCTTTCCTTCCTTCCTTCCTTCCTTCCTTCCTTCCTTCCTCCCTCCCTCCCTCCCTCCCTCCCTCCCTCCCTCCCTCCCTTCCTTCCTTCCTTCCTTCCTTCCTTCCTCCCTCCCTCCCTCCCTCCCTCTCTCCCTCCCCCCCTCCCTCCCTTCCTTCCTTATTTTTTTTCTTATTGAATTACTGGAGCGATAGCACAGCAGGTAGGGCGTCTGCCTTGCACGCAGCCGACCCAAGTTCGATTCCTCCATCCCTCTCGGAGAGCCCGGCAAGCTACCGAGAGTATTCGATATTCGATATGCCAGACACAGTAACAACAAAGTCTCCAATGGAGACGTTACTGGGCCCACTCGAGCAAATCGATGATCAACGGGAGGGCCTTTACTTTTACTTACTTACTTTTATTGAATCACTGTGAGACATAGTTACAAGGCTTTCCTGATCCGGTTTCAGTCACACAATGTACCAACACCCATCTATTCACCCTACTGGTCCATTTCTTGGATGACATTTGCCCCCTCCTCTCCATTAGAAGGTTCAGTCATTGACTCGGTACACTGCATGAGTGTCTGCAGAGGGACCACACGCCTTCTCCTGGAGGGAAAGTGGGCACAAGCGTTTGGACCCCAGCCAAGAGGGCCAAGTCCAAGCAACCACTCTTACATTGCCTTCTCTTTCCCTGCTGTGTCCCCTGAGTCCATAGGATACTGCCCCCTCATGTTTCCTAGGGTTCTCTCCCATTCCGTCTGCATCAACAGAACAAGTTCCGAAATTGGATTTTGCAGCAGAGATGTGCTTTGTCACTGGCCTACTGAGGGGATGTCTCTGAGCCTCTGTTTGCTGATCTGAAGAGTGGGAGCATAGAAGTATCTGACCCTCTCTGACTGTTGGGAGAATAAAATGAGGTCAGTGGAGATGCTCAGTCCAGGCCATTTCTGTTTCTTAATTACTGAGACTCCCCACTGAGTTGGTGGCAGACGATGCTATTTCTATGACTATTTTAGCAACAGAGAGAAAAGACTCATTTAAAGCTGATAAACAACAGACTAATAGCCTTTACACCTTTTTTGGGGGGAGGGGGATAGAGGGGAGTTACAGCTTGTACCTATTTGTTCTAGAACCTTCCTCATTCATTGCCCCTGGAGAGGCAGGCCTGGCTGGAAGCATAACCAGCCTAGTAACCTTTTCTTGTGTTTTGTATATTGACCATGAGCAAAATATCAGCTCAGTCCCTCTCCCCCATAGTAAACTAAATACAGAGAGATGGAGGGAGGAGGGGAGAAGAGAGAGAGAGAGAGAGTAGGAGAGAGAGAGAGAGGAGAGAGAGAGGAGAGAGAGAAGGGGGAGAGAGAGGAGAGAGAGAAGGGGGAGAAAGAGGAGAGAGAGAGAAGGGGGGAGAGAGGGGAGAGAGAGAGAAAGAGAGAGAGAGAGCAAGCATAGGGGGAACTTCTGGTGTCTATCAGCTTTCCATGATAGCTGTGTTCATGTTCCCTCCTGAGGACCAAAATAACTACAAAGTGAACGAAATCGTTAGGCACATAAAAATCCTGGAGGTGAGGCTGGGAATAAAACTTGTGATTTCCTAGTCCAAAGGCATCAAAGCTGGTCCTCACCGTTCATTTGCTCCCTTCTGCCTTGCACAGGCAGGCCTGACTTTGCTGGGTGAACAGGCAGCGGGGGGTAGACCAGGAGGACAGGAGCTGGTGTTGGGGTGGTACTGTATTGGGGAACTGCCTGGCAGCATCCTATAGACATGGAGGCACAGGCAGCCCTGAACAGAGAGAACCTGTCAGCCAGCACTGGAGGGTCTGGATTTGCAGCTGATGAATGGCCAGGGAGGTGTGTTGGCACAACCATGCCCATTGCAGCAAGTTTTGGCTGAGTATTAGGGTGGGTAAGGCCACAGTGTTGATGGGTGATGCCATTTGGGCGGATGGGGCAGAAGGAGACAGGGAAGCTGGATGGAAATCTTGCAAAAGGCGGTCCTGTAGATGGTTCAACTAGCAATGTCAGGGGGCCTCCTT